TTATACAGAAAAATATAAATCCAATTTTGCGCTAAATAATCAATAAATAAAGAGACATACCTCTGTTTCTTTTATCCAGTCCAGAAATTTATCAAAACTAAAGCTAGCCCAATCCCCACCATAATAGTTATTCCTATAAATAGCAAATTATTTCTTAATACAAGTAAAAACTCCAATTCTATAGATACAAGCTTTTGAACAACATTTTGACATAATATAAAGATATAGTTGTTCATAATCAGAATTTTCTTATCAGTCCATATACCTGTAGTGGACTAAGCAGGCTGATGGTACAACCTCAGTTGGAATAAACCAATTAGGGGAAAAAACTGCTTTCAAAAACTATTTTAGCAAAAATCTGCTTATACTACTCAACAGTTATTGAAATAAAATAAAAAATCCATAATATATAATACTTTTAAAGTTTGGCAAACCATATAATAACATTAAAATCTCGTAAGAAAAAGTATCTTTGTTTAGCTTAAATGTTAAAAAATTGCACTTATTGACTAAATAAAAAATAAATAAATTTTAAAAAAAAACAGCCTGGTAGCAAAATTTGCAGAGTTAATCTGCAACATTACCATCAAATATTCAAACATGAACATGTCTGCCACTGCCACACAGTCTGGAATAAATTATTATTGCAAAAATTAAGTTTAACATAACACATATTTAACACAATTTGCAAACATTAAACACAATAAAGTTGAATGAAAAAACTTTAAATTGTTTAAATTTAATTTGAGTTTTATACAATCATACTTAAGTTTAGCACAAAAGAAGAGAAAAAAAACAGATACTTACACTAAACCCAATAAAGAAATCAGCAACAAAAAAAAAAGATAAAGTTGCAAGTGATAATATTAAAGTAAAATTTTAAAGGAATAAATTAACTGAGTTTTAATTTGTGATGTCCTTATTTGTGCCTATTTAAAGCTGTCAACAAATGAAATTTACTAACAATACTATAAATACTTTGCAGACAAATAAAACAATAACTAGAAAAATGAACATTAAACAAGTGTCTTTTTTCGATATCGAATTATCTTTTTCTTCACACACTCCAGATTTAGGATTGGTAATATTAAGTGTTTAAGAAGGTAACTTTTCTTAACACAATTACTAATCATACGAACTACACTGGTGGACAAAATTAAGAGATGGAAAAATTTTTTGCACATGCAAGATACTCGCACACCGCTCCATGTGTTTGACAATGGTTCCGTGAATACCCAGAGGTACAAGCAGAAGGTCTTAGAGCCCTATGTGCGTCTTTTCAGGGGCGCTGTTGGCCCTGAGTTCATTTTTATGGACGACAATGCGCGACCACATAGGCAGGGATCTTTCCAGGCCGAATTTTCTACCGCTTAGCGGTACCTTCACAAATTCAATTTTAGTTAAAACGGTAGTTTCACAAAATACTTTTTCTTAAAGTTTTTTTTTTGTATCCCTTAAGAATCGATAAATCTATATTTTTACCATGTTTTTGTGTTGACTTTTTAATATAATTTTTAATTTTTCACAAATTATGTCAAAATTTTCACAAAATAGGTACCTTTCAGAAAAACCTAGACAGACCCCTGATAGGGCTCTCATGGTTGATGAGTATCTGGAAAGCAAGGATATTCAACGAATGGATTGGCCAGCCAAATCCCCTGACCTGAATCCTATTGAACATGCTTGGGATGCTCTTGGGAGAGCTTTTGCGATGTGCCACCCTCCCCCCAGAACCATTCTGGAGTTAAAAATTGCTCTGGTGGAAGAATGGGAGGGTATTCCACAAGTCCTCCTTAACTCCCTTATTAACAGCATGCATACTCGTTGTGCATGCTGTCTGTCTGTCAGGGGTGACCATACACCATACTAGAGGCAACACACACTGTACAAGCCTCACTTTTATTGTAATCTTTTATCCTTAAGTTCAGACTACATAGGATTTATTGGCAATAGGTCTTGCCAGTGAATGGTACAATCATTTTTGTTTTGCATACTTTATTATCATGGAATAAGCTATATTCAAACCAAATTTCATTTATTTATATTCAGTATTTTTTGAGATATTTGGGAAAATGTCTTCGATCTCTTAATTTTGTCCACCGGTGTATAAGCATTAAATAGAATAAAATTCAACTAAAAGAATATAATAATTTAAAAATATTATAATTAAAGCCATTAATAGCACAAACAAATCAAAAACTCACTTTCCAACTAGTAAAGTCAAAGCTCTTCACTAGTTAGAAAAGAGGACAGATAAAACAATGATTGTTTGATACTAGGGAACCAGATTGCGCAGAGTCAGAAGAGCCTGGTATAGAGAATAAACTTTTTTTCTTCTTGTTGTCCCGATTGCATTTTATGTGTAATATATATATTTTTTTAATTACAATCATTACATAATATTCTGAACTTTATTTAAAGCTTGCGTCTTAAAGTGTTTCATCACTTTAAAAATGAATCTTGTAATGTTTGCCATACATTAAGAAATTTGAAAAATAAATGCCTTACATTATTAATATTAACAGTTTTTTCAATTATTGAAATTTTGGCTAAATATTAAAGTGACTACTGTTAAAAATGTTATAACTGGCTAATAGCAAAATTTACAAATTTTGTCTTACAGTGATTGAAAGTAAAAAACTGGCAGTCCAGGACAAAAAATAGGATTCTATGGAGGAATCTTTTATACAGGGTGCGTAGCCAAATCTTTGAATCAAAAATAAGCACTTTTTAAAAACTTTTCAAGCACTTTACAAAAATTTTCAAGCACTCAAAAAATTCATATTCAATCAATGATATTATTGAAAAACAAAAACTTTTTATAAAGTTTTAGCGTTAAAAAAAAACAAAAAGAAACGGGCATAAATCGAAACAATCAGTACTTTCCCACACCACCGAGTGAATTCAACTTGACCCTGAACTCAGAACAAAAGTACCCTTACCCCCTACGTCAAAAAAAGTGTTAGAAGTAAAATAAAATAAACAAGAATAAAATTAAAATACATTAAAAAGAAAAACATTTCATAAGGATCTGATATTCTCTACCCGTATTGGAGCACTCCGGCTTCGGTTTCAAGTGTGCGCGCATGCGCAAGTCATAACGTGGGTACGACATGAAGCATAGTCCGCGTGAATGATTACGTAGCAAACTCCCCATTTTTCGCCAATTGCATGGGATCCACCAGATATCACTGAAGGGAGAAAAAAAAATTATTCGAAAAAAAAAGCACTTTTTAAAAACGCTAGCTGAAAAAAGCACCCTTAAAAGCTTTTAAAAACAAAATCTCCAAAAAAGCAGCTTTAAGTACTTTTTACAAACGCTACGCACCCTGTTTATAGAAGGCCTTGGTTTACTCTGGGCTGCCACGCCAAATATGATATTGGAAACATTGTTGATTGATTGTTTTCCTCTAAAGCCTTTTCAGGCTAGAAACCTAAAAAATATCTTCCCTAAAACTTGAGCATAGAAGTTTGCTACAAGGATAATTATTTCAAGTATCAGTAATAAATTTAAATTATATAAAATTTTTAAAGAGGTCATAAAATTACATAAAAAAATTAAGATCCAAAAGAATCTTTTTTTGTTTTGTTTAACTTAAATCTTCAAAAAATTAGGAAAAGTATATTTATGTTTTAGTAACATTAAACCCTTAATAATGTCTAATTGTTTTATTATTTTTAATAAGAATGCCAAGAATGTTAGGCATTTCTTAAGCATGTGCAAAACAACTGACAGAAACCATTTTTAAAAAAAAAAAAATGAATAAAAGAAAATGAAGAATAAAGTCTTGAAAAAAAAAGAGGAAGATTCAAAGAAAAAGAAAGAAGATTGAATTTTGGATTCACACATTATGCAGATACTGAATTAAAATAAAAACATCAAGTAAATGTTATAATGAAAACAAAATTTTTTACCTATCAATGTGCAAAACTTTCTTGCCAACACGAGCAGCTGCAGCAGCTATAATACATTCTGGCATTCCTAAAATATTATGATATTGAGTAAGGATTTCTTTATTACTACCATATAAACTATACATATTTTATATACCTATATCTTACACATGAAGTTTTAGCTAATCACCTCACTAAGTTTTTAAAATTACTCGAATAATAAAATTTATAAGGATAAAAATTAGCTTTTACTGTCTATCCTTTTAATTATGATCCCTCTTACAGTAACAGTTCCATTAAAAAAACCAGATAAAGTCAATATTGCAATTTTTTAGGTAAAATGTTACCTTAATATCCATAAAACATCTGTACATCATTCCAACATAATGATAATAATTTGATTTGACAAAAGTTTCAAAGAAACTATTTAAGCTATTATTATTATCATTTATGTTACCATTAAAAGTGAAACATCCTGAATTCCTTCTAGAATCCTGGAAGAATGACATAATCTTCAAATTCTTACTTAATTGATTATCTATGGTAAAAAAATTAAAGAACTATAGATTACTTCACAGACGCCCGGTGGCTGAGCGGTAGCGC